CAAACTCATTTTATTTGTTTCTATTCCGTATTATATTAAACATAGAAGTATAAATATATGCTAAAAAAGAATTGAAAAAATCATCATACATTCTCTGTCCCAAAAATAACTTTCCAGTTTGACTTGCACATATTTGTGGAGGGACCCTTCCCGGGACCCTCGCCATGCGGGGATGCCTTTGTGCACCGGGCTGCCCTTTAAGGTTTTGCTTTGATTTCTTAATATACTCCTATTTTATGTTGAATCATGCAAAAAGTAAGGGCAATTGTGAGTTTTGTGACATTTACGATTGAAAAGTTATGTTGATCAATTACGTTAGTACATAATACAAATTTAAAATGTTTTCAGTAGAAAATGTTTTCTTGGAAATTAAGGCTATTCTTGGAACACACAAAACACTGTGGAACCTGAAAATGATGGCAAGGACTCAGGATAATAGTTTGATTTTTTAATATGGCCTTAAACCTGGAAAGTACTGACAAAAATCAAATTTGATTTTTTTAATTGTGTATACATAGTTATACATCTATGTTTCTTATCCTTTATGTAACATACATAAATAAATTAACCAAGTCTGAACAAATATGTAAAATTGATTACTGGGTGCGAACCAAAATTATTATTAGAATTTTCCAGGAAAACATTTTCCCAGGAAACAAAGGAAGACTAAATATTAGCTATGCAGCCATACAGGGATGTTGGATGTTTATTCTTTATCTATTTGGATGCAGGAACACAAGTGAAGCAGAAACTGATCATACTGATAATCATAATAGCATTCCTAGAAGGCCTCCTAACGAGGTGCTTTCGAAGAAGAGTCTTCTGTTCACGATTGCAATAACAGGAATTGCTGTTTTGTTAGGGTCACTTATTTTCCAGAAGAAATCTGAGCAGTCACGATCACAATAGGAAGCTCCGAAGCTGCAGTCTGTTGGGAATACTTCTCTATTACATACTTACGAATCATCTTCATGTTTGTACACTACACTAGCTAGCTATTTCTTGACAATTCTTGTATGAGTTTGGATTTGCGGTCAACGGTTGATTGTATGTAAAATGTGAGTCCATTTCGACCGAGGGTTATACTCAGATTCTTGATATAAAATGCTGCATTTATAAGAAATCAGAGTTATACTCAGATTCTTGAAAAGCCCTACCCACTGAGTATAAAATGTGAGACCATCTTCAATTTACATTTTTTTGTTTGATAAAAAATAATAATGGTGGTCGTCCGGTTGAAGATGTTTGAATTGACAACCCTAAATGCACCACAATAATGTACGGAGTCATTTATAAATACTAACAAATTGATTGCAAGGTCGAAGTTTCAATACCGAAAGGCGAAATATATCGTTATATGATCTCAATTATTGAAAATGTTTGAATTGGGAACCCTAAATCTATCATATACTTTTGTTTTGATGATTAATCGAAAATCGTACTATTAGGCATTTAGGCTGTTAGACAACGGGTTGGGTATGAAAGTACAATGAACACCAGCTTTATTCATCATATAGATTCATAATCTTGATTCTTTAGCATCGCCCATATCTCATGTGTGTAAAATTCACGATTTATTTGTTGTTAGGTACAATACATTTATGTTTATCGCTTGATCTCCACATGCACTAAAATATGTAGTCTGTGTTTTCATCCACCACAGGAATCTTTTTCCTCCTCCTTTTCTTCAATGTTAATTGCTCTTCATCTTCCTCTGGTGTTAAAACCTCCTCATCTGTGTCTTCATACTCACTAACAATTCCAGAATCTTCCTCTATCTCTTCATCTTCCAGGACTTTATTCTTACCTTTTCTCTGACTTTGGCCAGGAAGTTTACCCTCTGTAGCTTCTTTTTGAAGTTGACTTGCAATCTCAACTATCTTTACATTCCATCCCTTCACATTTTCTCTAACCCTTTGATACTCTTCATCACTGGTACCTTCATCTGAGCCAACCCATCCATCCTTCATGTTCCCCCCCTCTTCACCTTGTGATATATCAACTTCCAAATTAGTGGCTGCATCATGTACTAGTTCATCTTCAATTCATTTGGTGGACTGTTTTCAGGGTCAGGGGAGTCTGATTCTTCATCCCATGTGAAAGCAGTATGTGGTGTATCACTTTCAAATGCCCCTTACTATGATGTGAAGTGTTCAGTAGTACATATGTGCTCTCCATTGGTAGTACATATTTTTGGTGAAACTTCAGCTTGAAATGTGGAGGATATCTCATCTGTTACTGCTTTCAGCTTACTTCCCCCCTGGAGTCAGTTTCTTCTTCCGACTTCAGGATTTCATTTCTGCAAATCCATTTTGTCCCCCATATTCAATTGCTTCAATTAAATCTGGAACGTCAATGCCATGAATGACGTAACAGTCTATGCATCTGTTCTTTAACACTAGTGCTATCAACTCCCTCACTTGTTCATCATGATAAGCCCTTTTTAAACCCTCTTCATAGCTATGATTGGGAACCAAGTAGTAAATGACATCAATTGTAGAATAATCCCCACACTTTTTAGCCAATTCTTCTAACCAAAACCAACAAAGTTCATCTGAATCTATATCAAATGTCCTAGCTTCACCTCTCACATATTCTAGTTTTCCCATGGTGTTCTTCTTAAACATTCCCCCATGCCATATGTGCAGCCTAACACGGGTATCCTCTATAACCTATGTGAAGGATTAATATCATACATTAAAACCCCTAAGAAACGAAATCAAGTAACAAATAAAAACTCAAATAAATCATGTAAACCAAAAGAACCCTAATTTTTGTCCCTGAAGAATAATACTTGAACACTAACCACAACACTACTTGGAATTCAATAAACTTACCATGGTTGAACGTCTGCAGCGGTATATTTGATGGACTGGGAAGACTTTCAATTCGGTGAGGGTGACACTCTCAGCTTCCAGACGGGACTTCAATTTGTGGGATGGAGGCTGTGTACAATTGGTCTTGTTCAAGGAGGATGAGGATATGAGGTCGTTGTTGTTTGTTAAGCAGATTTTAAAATTTGATACTGGGTTAGCCGGTTGCCAGTTCGCTCAGAGTGAAGGTGGAAGATTAAGGCCTTAGTTGGTATTATTACAGAATAATACGTACGACGGATTATTAATAGAAGACGAGCAATAGGTTGGATTATTAGTATGAATTTTTCCAAATATGTAATCAAGTGTCATGCTCTAGGCAAGACATTTGTACGTACTCTATGTAGTAACTTTCTATGAATCATTTCAAAATTCTTTTGCATATTTTAATTCGCAAATTATACCGTGGGATCGACACATCATGCGCATGGTGTACTGATTCCATTAGCGCATCGTTTTTTTAATTAAAATCACCCTGCCTTTTTTCTCAAGCACCGACCGTTTGCACACAAGGCTTCCTCCCGATTTTTATTCTTCTGCACCATGCCCATGCTACTAATAACTTTTCCTTCCCTGCTTCCACTTTCTTTTCTCTTGCTTGCTTCATGATCTAATTCTCTCCCTTCTTCTTTTTACTTCTTTTCTTTTTCAATTTTATTCATCTCCTTTATTAAAATATTAAAAATATGATTACAATAACTTTTTTATATAATACATTTCTGAAAAAAAAACTTTATCTCTTTTATAGGTTTTTAGTGTTTTTTAAGACATAGAGTTTGTTAATTTCTATTTACATATGACAAAACAGGTGATTATTTCATGTATGTGATTTACCTTTTCATATATGTGAGTTACATATATACATGATTCTTAAAGTTATATTTGAGTTACACCTTCTTATGCGCAAGTTACATATTTTTATGCTTGAGTTACATTATTTTATAAGAGAATTACATCTTCCGAAGCGCAAGTTACATTTGTCATCAACGTGGGTTACATTTGTAAAAAAACATGAGTTACATAAAAAAATAACCCCCTGCTACTGAAACAAAAAAAATGATTTTTTTTTTAAATCCTTGTGATGGTCGTGATATTAAAAACAAAACATATTCATGATTTGCGTAAAGTAATTGTGTAGTTTAAACTCTTTTTTCATTGTTTGCATTGAAATCAATGTTTTATTTCTTATAGTATGTATTTGATAAGTTATATTTCGAATGGACTTGAGTTACATTGATCAAAACGTGAGTTACATATCTTTACACGCGAGTTACATCATTCATACTACTGGGACAAAAAACAATTACTCTACACACGTGTACTGTTCACGCGTTAATGTTCACACGATTTTTTTTTTAAAAATTGTGTAAAACTACATCGTTTTGCATGTGAGAGCACGGTGTTCACCGTGGGATGATACCACTGTATACACACTCATTTTAATTGTTGTAATTTTACGGACATCAACCCCACAATAGTCACTAGGGGTGGACTGGTTCCGGTTCGGGCCCGGGCCCGGCCGGGCCTCGGTTCAGAAAAATGAGGCCCGAGCCCGAACCGGTGGTGGGCGGTTCCGGGCCAGACCGGGCCGGGCCGGGAGGCCCGAACTGGGCACGAACCGGTTCACCGGACCGGTCCGGGCCCGCACAGTAGCGGGCCGGTCCGGTTCCGGGCCGGTTGGCCCGCCCCGAGTCCATCCCTAATAGTCACATTATGACGGGTTTGGCTATTTGTATAATCTTTTTTTTAACCAAAGTATACTTGGTTTTGCGTTTTTTTTTCTTTTATTGTTTTATTTTTATTTGTGTAACATGGATCACTCACATAGATGCATCATATACTCCGTATACATGTACTCCCTCCGTCCCATTTTACCTGTCCTACTTTCCTTTTTGGGTTGTCCCAAAATAAGTGTCCACTTTCTTTTTTTTGGAAAGAAATATGTGGCTTACACCCTTTCACTTTATTATACTCATACCTCAACTACAACTTTTATTTTTTCAACCACTTTATTAATAATTGTGCAAGTCAAATTAAGACACATAAAATGGGACGGAGGCATTAATAAAAGGTGTTATGGACCTATGGTTACTAAAGAATACAATAATATTCAGAGGTCTTTTTCAATGGTTAATCCTAAGCCAAGGGATTTGCACCATTCAAGGGGTAGAACCGGAAACAAAAAACGCGGGAAGGTGGTTGGTGGCCGGTCGAGATTAAAGGATGTAAAGACAAGATCTTTGGAGGAAGATCCCGACTAGTTGGCGGTGGCGCGTTATAGTCACGGACTAAAAACGTGATAATGGGTTGTGGCCGTAACTTCAGGAGCATTGTACATAGCCTATGCTCACGTGGCAGCCACACAGGTCTTCGTCTTCTCCTCTAATTTATATCTTTATCACTCAAATGCCAAAATTGAAGTGGCATAGCATAGGTATCGATTGATTTATTCGCATATAATCTTTTTACTTTGCGAATGAAAATCGAAGCTAAGGCTCCTAGGCCTTGCCATTAAAGCGATCTTAAGTTTCTCTTATTCTGTAGGGGATCATAGGCATAGTGGTGGTTCTGGATCAATGTCAGCTCCCGAATTGCGATTGTATATTCAAGATCACCATGTAAGATACTGCATTGTTTGTTTATTTACTTTCATTGTATCGTGTTTGGCACATCAGCACATGTTTCATTCAATGAAAAGCACAATTGCAGGTAGTGATGGATAATGGCATAGTCCAAGTCACTCTATCAAAGCCAGATGGGATTGTTACTGGCATTCGTTATAATGGCATCGACAATCTGCTTGAAACTCTTAACAATGAGTCTAACAGAGGGTATTAATTTCTAAGAGACCTCCCTGATTATTAACTTTTGAGACTTGTATAATAGTCATCCAAACTTCATGTAACGTGTAGGTACTGGGATGTTGTGTGGAATGCAAATGATGGTGGGAGAGCTGGAATATTTGAAGTGTATGCCATTTCTTCGTCTATTTGCTTTAGGGTGTATTGAATAACCAAACAATGCCTAGAGATGCTTGTAACATGTTATAGACAACACATTTTTTGTCTAAATAATTTTGTTATGGTGCAGGATTAAAGCAACAAATTTTAGAGTAATAAAGCAAGATGAGGAACAAGTTGAGCTATCATTTGCGAGGCCATGGGATCCTTCCTTTCAGGGAAAGCTTGTTCCACTAAACATAGATAAAAGGTCTTTACTTTACTTTAGACTCCTGAAGCAGTTGATGGTTAATTGTGGCTGCTGAAAGTTTGATGACATTTTAACAGGAATTATAATGACAATCTGATTATAGGTTTGTTTTGCTCCGTGGTTCGTCTGGTTTCTATACATATGCCATTTATGAGCATGTTGGTTCTCCAGAATGGCCTGCTTTCAGTCTTGGTGAAACCAGGGTAGCATTCAAGCTCAGGAAAGACAAGTAAGGGGGCTAGGGCCTTGCCCATGTATGTCATATCATGTTTACTGCAGATTAAGGACCTGTTTGGTTTAAATTGATTTTACTAAATGCTTTTCTTTTTAGTCAGATTCAGTCATTTTAGCTACATAACCTTTACCAAACGGGCCCTTACATGCTGACTTCAAGTATCTGAAACATGACCATCTTTTCTCTAAGATATTCACACTGTTACTAACCATGTGGCAATTATATCCCATAGATTTCAATACATGGCTGTGGCGGACGATAGGCAAAGGCTTATGCCCCTACCAGATGACCGGTTGCGTGGCAGATGCCAGCCCCTTGCTTACCAAGAAGCAGTTCTGCTTGTCAACCCCGTCAATCCAGAATTAAGAGGAGAAGTAATAATAAACTAGTTATTTTTAATTATTTCTACCAGTTGGTTCCTTTTGATTTACTAGCAAGTATGTGTTTGTGTTTTTTTATTGAGAACTGATTAATCTTAACTAATACACTGTTGTGATAACTCTATGGTCGCTACATTATTTTCTAGGTAGATGACAAGTACCAATATTCATGTGATAACAAGGATAATAAGGTACATGGATGGATATCTATGAACCCACCTGTTGGCTTCTGGCAAATCACACCCAGTGATGAGTTTCGATCTGGTGGGCCTGTCAAACAGAACCTTACGTCACATGTTGGTCCCACAACCCTTGCGGTAAGCAACCTCTAAGTATTGAATGATGATATATTTTATAGTAGTATACTAGTATTTCGCATTTCTGAAGTATGCTTCCACTTGATTAGGTGTTCCTTGGTTCTCATTATGCTGGAGACGAGTTAACTCCAAAATTTGGACAAGGCGAGCCATGGAAGAAAGTTTTTGGCCCAATTTTCATTTATCTCAACTCTGTAAGGCGCGTTGAAGATGCCCTAACTTTATGGGGGGACGCGAAACGGCAGGTTTAAGAGTATACAGTTGTTGTTCTTTATCTTTTTTTAAGATCATATTTTGGCTCCGTTTGTTTGAAAGGAAATAACCAGTTGTGGAATTGTTTGACCGACAATTCTATGGAGAACGTTAGACGAAAAGTAATGTTTGACCGACAAAAATAGAAAGCATAAAACAGTTATAGAAAAATGTTGAAAGAATCAAGGGAAATATTTTCTAGTACCGAATACATTAAAATATTTTCTATAATGTTTTCTGTGGCTAACAGAGGAAAACCAGAAAACATTGTCCAATTTTTTTCCCTATAAACAAATGGAGCCTTATACATGTACGAGGATTGGTAAATTACTAATTGGTTTTTCAGATGCTGGTAGAGGTACAAAGCTGGCCATACAGTTTTCCAGAATCAAAGGATTTCTTATCAGCAGATCAGCGGGGAAATGTCAGTGGTAGACTATTGGTCAGTGACAAGTAAGGATAATACATTGGATAGATTCACACTGTCTTTTGGTAAACAAGTGTCTTACACAGTTAAACTCTCACTACCAAATATTTAATGTACACATATCTCTAAAGCTTTTGAAATTACTAAATTAGGTATGCCTGTAATGATCTTATGCCTGCAAGTGGTGCATACGTGGGATTGGCCGCACAAGGAGATGCTGGATCATGGCAAAAAGAATGCAAGGTAGTTTGGGTTATAGGCTGTCAGTCTCCTCTCCTAATAATTACCTCTCTAAAACAGTTTTATCCCACTATATGTTATCACCAACTCATGCAAAGCTTATATTAACATCAAAGATATAGTTAATGAAATGGATTAATAGTTGAACTGTTTGTAAAACATAATTTATCAATAAATTAAAGATATCAATATCTTAAAATAAGGGTAAGTGTTTTATTTCCATTCATTCCTGCCAAAAAGTATTCATTTTGAACATCAACGTGGTCACTGCAATCACTGATAAAATACCTTAATGGCCACTGCTAACTAAAAGTAACATTTTTGTCTGTTGTTTTTACTTGTCATATATTTGTCATTTTTCCTACTTAATTAGCTTCTGAGAAATCCTTTTCATCAGGGTTACCAATTCTGGAGTAGAGCAAGTGAGGATGGGTGTTTCTCCATCAACAATGTCCTACCCGGTGACTACGATCTGTATGCTTGGGTGCCTGGATTCATCGGAGACTATCAGAATGAAGCTTCCATTACCATAGCTTCAGGTCCTAAACACCATAGCTTCTTAGCAAATTATAGTTCACATTTTATTTTTGATTAGTTTCTCATTTGCTAAAAGTGGTATTTAAACAGGCTGTAGAATTGATGTCGGTGAAATCGTTTACAAGCCTCCAAGGGATGGCCCTACACTTTGGGAGATAGGCATCCCTGACCGTAGTGCTGCAGAGTTCTATATACCCGATCCAAACCCAAAGTATCTTAACCAGATCTTTGTCAACCACCCCGAGAGGTAAGTGTATCGATATGCACTGAAATTTTATTTTATTTTGGTGTGTTATCAGTAGCAGTAATTAGTGTGTCCAGACCACCTTCTATATACCACCTATTGTGCAGGTTTAGGCAATATGGACTTTGGGAAAGATACTCAGAGTTATATCCAAACGGAGATCTCGTGTACAAAGTTGGCGAGAGTGACTATTCAAAAGACTGGTTTTTTGCTCAAGTTACTAGGTATGGCCGTACGGTTGATCTTTACACTTCCAGGTTTTGTTAGGCTATGTTTGGAGGATGGAATATAGTAGGGGAAGTTATTTACTAAAGGTCAAGGAAAATTCTTTTTTTTCGTGTTTGGTTTTACTTCAGAAAATATGAAGAAATCCAAATTGGATTAAAAATATTACTCCCTCCGTCCCTTAAAACTTTTCCAAGTTTGACCGGCACGGAGATTAATAAAGTAAAAAATGTGTGGTTGAGGTATGTGGAGAAGAGAGAAAATTAGCTGGAACCACAAATTAATTACTTAAAAGAGAAAGTGACAAAGTTAATGGGACAACCCAAAATGGAAAGTTGTCAACGTTCTAAGGGACAGAGGAAGTATAAAACTTTACATGTACTTATATTTCTTAATCTTTATGCGGAGTATAATAGAAACATATAATTAAAATGAGTTCTTTAGACCTATAATTAAATTTTCTACATACCGAAATACCGTTAAATTTTGGTATTGTCGGTATACCAATGTTACACCGAAAGTCCAACTGAACCGAACACATTATAGCTTTATCTTTTATGAATTTGAATAAGCCCAATGGAATAACCATAGCCTAAAAGTCTAAACAATAATACTCTTTTCTAAAGCCCAAAGTCTGCCTAGTCTTCATGAATCAAGACTTCAAGAGTTAGGTCAGGAGTTGAGGAGTGCCATAGTATTTCTCTTCTTTCACGAGTCACGACGAACTCATGAGAGTTAACGATGCAGCATCAACCGGCGGTTCCAGTGAAGCAGCAGCAGTTCTAGTGAAGCAGGACACAATCACGGTTCGCAGAGACGACGAAGCAGGGAGCCGACTACAAATATAAATTGTCTGCAAAATCTTAGACTACAAAAGCTTCTCTCTATCAAGGTAATGCGTTCAACATTGTCTTTGTTTCACTAGTTTCTGCAAATAGAAATTAATAATTAACTTAAAGTAGGAAGTAGCTAAAGTATTCTAAAAATGATACCGTATATGTTTGTTGTTTATGCTCCATTGTCAGCCGCAATCACCTTGGTATGTTAACAAATGGAAGAATGAGTATATTCAGGCTTACTGGTTACTTATTATGATAAAATGAATCCAAGGAAAACAACTTTCCTTTTAGAAACTCAAAAAATTGAAAATTCCAGTCAAGCAACCCTAACTAACCAAACCTTTGACATGTTTAGGATTAAATTGGTGAAGTTTCATGTTTTACTCTATTAGTAGAAATTTCACTTTTCGTTTTCATTTGCTTCTTGTTTTTTCAAATTTGTAAATATGATTGTTAAGTATGTTTTTGGAAACTTTGGTTATTTTAATCATTTTACTAAAGTATTTTTCTGAAATTTTTATTTCTAAAGAGCCTCAAACCATAATAATACTGCTAAGGTCAGGTTTTCTTCTTTTTGTTTTCAAAAAAAGTTCACAACAAAAACATATTAGTAAATTATAGGAAAAATTGATATTAATAATCCTAACTATTGGCGGTCCGTTCATAATAATCCCAACTATTGGTGGTCCGCTCATAATAATCCCAACTATCGATTATTTCAGAATAATCCCAACTTTAGGGACCTTCTGTCAATAATGGTCCGACGTGACTGGCTATAATAAATTCATATAGTTTCTAAAGTGGATGAAAAGAGATATATCAAGTAATTTTTATAAATAATCTCAACTTTTAATTTTTACGCTTAATTTCTATTTGAAATTCACTTGTTATCTGGTCATGGACCATTATTGGCGGACGGTCCATATAGTCGGGATTATACAAAAATAATCAATAGTTGAGATTATTGTAAGCAGACCGACAATAGTTGGGATTATTATTTTCAATTTTTCCTAAATTATATAATGTTGTAGCTAATCTTCCTATACTTGTTATGATAAAATGAATCCAAATGAAACAACTTTCCTTATAGAAACAAAAAAAATTAACTTTCTAGTCAAGTACCCTAACTAAACAAGCCTTTGACATATTTAAATTGGAGAAGTTTCATGTTTTACTATGTTAGTAATAATTTCATTTTTCATTTTATTTGTTTCTTGTTTTTTCAAATTTGTAAACATGATTGTTAAGTTTGTTTTTGGAAACATTGGTTATTTTAATCATTTAACTAAAGTTTTTTTCTTAAATTTTATTCTTAAGGAGCTTCAAACCATAATAATAACCCCAAAGTCAGGTTTTCTTCATTTTGTTTTCAAAGAAAGTTAAAAACATAGTTATATTAGTGAGTTATATAATGTTGTAGTGAATCCTACTATATTTTGAGTATATAAACTGAAATTTTGTTTTTAAGGAGTTTCAAATCATAATAATACTCCCAGTCAGGTTTTCTTCTTTTTATTTTCAAAGAAAGCTAAAAACAAAAACAAATTAGTGAGTTTATAAATGTCTCAATGAGTTTATTTCCTATATTTGCATTTTTTTAATTCTAGGTAGCCTACTACACATAATACCTCTTCAGAAAGATTAATAGGTGTTTTAGTTTTGAGTTGTGCTAGGTGTACACATTTTGGTTTACACCTTTCGTACACTCGTCTGTCTCACGCGCACAGAATGGTCTGTCCACATGTAGAATTGTTTGCGGACAGACGACTCTCTGTGGTTGAGACAGACAAGTGTACGAAAGGTGTACACCAAAATGTGTACACCAAGCATTTTTCTTTAGTTTTAGACCTTGACCATCCATGAGTATGTTTACACATTGGAAGCAAGCAGTTTTTTTATTTGCTAATGATGTTCATTAAGGGTCCGTTTGCAATCGTTTTAAAAAAGCGCTGCTCAACTTTTGGCTTAAAAAAGTTAAAATTAGTGTTTTCAAGTGACAATTTTTACTTAAATTAAACACTTAAAAGCAAAAAGATGATTTTTATTTTTCCTATTACACAAAAAGCACATATTTTACAAAACACCACCAACTTTTACTTTTCAAAATCAACTTTTTCTCAAACACTACCATTTTTACTACTTTCCAAATTCACTTTAAAAAGTCACTTTTTTTAAATCACAAGCAATTGCAAGCACTCTCTAAATAACATCTCAATGGCTTCACTCAATAACTTGATAGGTGTATATTTCATATACTTCAAAATGATAAGAATCATATGATTGACAGTGACAGCACTTTTAAAAATTATTGAACTTTGATAATAAATACTAGTTTCCAATATTTGACTAATATAATACTCCCTCCGTCCCATTGGACTTTGCCAACTTTCCCTTTTTGGTTGTCCCAAAAAACTTTGCCACTTTCCTATTAAGCAACTAATATGTGGTTCTGCACATATCTCTCTCCTCTGCACAAATCTCAACCACACAGTTTTTATTATTCTTATTTTTACCTACTTTGCACTTGGCAAAGTCTACCGGGATGGAGGTAGTATTTATTTAATTTTCAAAATTAAGAATGAAATTTGAATCATCTCACTTGTTGTCAAGTCCGTCTAAATCACCAAATACAGTTGAATATGAAACAAACAATAATTCATCGAGCCAGAAACGAGCAAGATTGGGTTTAAGACAAAGGCCTCCTATAGCACCTAAAACAAGGAGCGTGCATTAGGAACATTGTGCACAGAGTACAAGGATGTTGACAGATGGGAGCATTTAAAATATTACAATATGCAAGCACTGTAAAGCTGAGATCCCGGCCAGTTATGAAAGTACTTGTGATTTAAAAAATCACTTAGTCATGAGATGCAAGTCAAGTCCTCCATACGACGCGGGATTGATAGAGGTCAAGTCGTACTCACGAATGAGTTGATGGGACAAGTGCATTAACTCATACTTTTAATAAAAAAACGGTGTAAATTGAAACTTACCGAGATTGTTATAATGGACGAAATGTCATTTTAGATTGTAAAGGGGAAATGATTTGTTAATCTTTTGCATAAATTATAACCTAAGTTCAAAATTTCCGATAGGAAGAAAGTTGCATGCATTGTTTACGATTTATTTTTAGTTGAAAAAGCTAAGATAAAAAGTGTGATTAGTGACCAATGAGAAAGTATCACAACTGATACTTGAATATTAACTCAGAACATTAATTACATTAATTACATGGTTGTCAGTGTTCATTTTTTTTATGGTGATTGGAAGTTGCACAAAAGAATCATTAATTTCACAAAAATCACTAGCCATGTCGGGAAAGAAATAGGCAAAATGGTTGAGATATGTTTAAGAGAGTGGGAGATAGAAAAAGTGTTCTCTATAGTGGTCGATAATGCTTCTTCAAATGACTCAACAATTGATTACTTGAAAAAAAATGAAAAATTAAAACATGTTATTATTTGAAGGAAAATATTTGCACTTGAGGTGTGCATGTCACATCCTTAACTTCATTGTTAAGGATGGATTGGAAGAACTTAAGACTTCAATTAAAGCTATAAAAAATGTAGTCATGTCTCTTCATTTGTGCACCAGCTAGGTTGAGTAAGTTTCGTGAATTTGTTGGGTTAGCCAAATTTTGTAATATATCAATGGTGTGAATGAATATTAAGCCGTAGTGGAATGCAACTTATAAAATGTTTGCTGTTGCATTGAAGTACAAAAAGTGTTCAAGTGAATGAGTGAAGAATGTTTTCCTTCAATGTGTTATTTTCATGAGATGAATAACAAAGGTCGAGAAATGAAAGGACCACCAAATGCTTTAGATTGGGAGAACGCAAGACCTTTTGTACACTTTTGAAAAAGTTATATGATGCTATCTTAGAGCTTAATCCAACAAAAATTCCCACCTTTCAATTGATGTATCAATCAATGAGGTGCTCCCACAAACGTCCAAGAGTTCATTGATAAAGTTAAAAAAGATCTATAACTTTGTGGATGGAGTACAAATGAATGAATGAGATCTTTAGTGTTTGAGAGACAAAGTTTACAAGTGCAATCATATGATGGAGATACGTGATGGTGACGGCCTTTGAGATGAATTGCTCACTGTTGTGGAAACACAAAATGATGAAGAACAACTTGAAGTTAGGTACTTTTTGACCTCATTTGATATCTCTTGAAATTTGTACTCTTCTTCATTTTGTGCTTTGACGTCATTGAACAATTCATCCCAAAGTCTGTCACCATCATTGGTATCTCCATCACCCGATTGCACTTGCAGACTTTGTCTCACAACTATAAAAGTTTCATTCATTCCTTTGTACTCCATCCACAAAGTAATAAAATCTTTTTAACTTTATCAATGAACCCTTAGACGTTTGTGGGAGCACCTTGAACCTTTTTAAAGCTAACCTTAATCATTTGGGGTTTATTTCTAGGGTCTAGGACATTGTTAATCAAACTCAAAAGATTCATATTATTCCAATTTCCCCACTACTTGTCAAATTTTGTCTGCATCGCACTAGCAACCTTTTTTAGAATGAATATATGTCATCAAGTAGTCTTTTTTCAATCTCAATTTGGAAAGCAATCATTGAATGATACATCAATTGAGAGGTGAGAGTTTTTGTTGCACTAAGCTCTTTGTAAGATCATAAAACTCTTTCAAAAAGTGCGCAAAAGCTCGTGCATTCTCCCAATCTAAAGCACTTGGTTGTGCTTCCCTTTCTTGATCTTTGTTATTCACATGAAAGGAAAACATTCTTCATTCATGCTCTCAAACTCCCTTCTATATTTCAATGCAACATCAACATTTTATAAGTTGCATTCCACCGGGTCTTGACAACCATTGGTATCGTTGACATATTAAAAAGTTTGGCTAACACAGCAAATTCTCGAGACTTACACAACTTAACCGGTAACTAATGAAAAAACATGACTGCATTTTTTATAGCTTTAATTGAAGTTTTAAGTTCTTCCGAATCATCCTTGACAATTAAGTTAAGGATGTGACATGCACACCTCAAGTGCAAGTACTTTCCTTCAAATAATAACTTGTTTTCACTTTTCATTCTTTTTTCAACTAATCAATTGTTGTGTCACTTGAAGAAGCATTATCGACCACTATAGAAAACACTTTTTCTATCCCCACTCTCTTCAACATATCTCAACCATCTTGTTTATTTCTTCCCCAACATGACTAATGATTTTTGTGAAATTAATGATTCTTTTGTTCAACATCTAATCACCATCTAAAAAATGAGCAGTGACAACCATGTAATTAATGTTCTGAATGGATGTCCAAGTATCAGTTATGATACTTACTCATTAGTCACTAATCACACTTTTTATCTTAACTTTTTCAACTAAGAATAAATCATAAACCATGCTTGCAACTTTCTTGCTATCGGGAATTTCAAACCTAGATTGTAATTCATGCAAAAGATTAACAAATCTTTTTTCCTCTGCAGCCCGAAATGACATTTCATTCATTATAACAAACTCGGTAAGTTTCAATTCACACCGTTTTGATTAAAAGTATGAGAAAGTAATGCACTTTCTTGTCCCATGAACTCATTCGTGAATACAACTTGACCTCTATCACTCCCTGCGTTTTATAGAGGACTTGACTCGCATCTCTTGACTAAGTCATTTTTTAAACCACCAGTACTTTCATAACTGATCAGGATATCAACTTTACAGTGATTGCATATTGCAATATTTTAAATGCTCCTATCTGCCAACGTTCTTGTACCATTTGCACAATGTTCCCAATAAACTCTCCTCGCTTTGGCGCTACTGAAGGCCTTTGTGTTGAACCCCCTTTTGCTCATTTCCGGCTCGATGATATTCATTATTTGTTTCAGATTCAACTGTATTTGGTGATTCAGACGCACTTGTAACTTGTGAGATGATTCATATTCGATTCTTAATTCTGAAAATCAAATAAATATTATATTAGTCAAATATTGAAAACCCGTAATTATTATCAAAATCAATAATTTTTACAAGTCAAGCCATTGATATTTTACTTAATGAACATCATTAGCAAATAAAAAAATTGCCTGGCTCCAATGCGGTAAACATATTCATGGCTAGTCAAGGCTTATAACTAAAACACATATTAAGCCAATGCGGTAAACATATTCATGGCTAGTCAAGGCTTATAACTAAAACACATATTAAGCTTTATGAAGAAGTCTATCTGTGTTATCAATTTGAAGTCTGCGAAGTCTCTTCACAATTTCGATCCATCCACAGACTACGAACTTCACAATTTCGATCCATCCACAGACTACGAAATACGGATGCAAGTTGAACCTAAGATCTCGATCTTAATAAGTTAATAAAGAATCTGAATGAATGTAAAATTGATAATCATCAACAACAACAACAACATCTAAGCCGTAGTCCCAAAAGATATTGGGATCGGCTAACATGAATCGATACATGATAATCATCAACCCTTTTGATTAATATTTCTCCAGTCTCCGATAATTGCCAATGCATGAATCTCAAGTTTCATCTGTTTGGTAAACTGTGACGTCTTCAGTTCTAGTTCATCCCATTCTGAAAATGAACTGCTTCCTTCCACTATCCGTGTTCCAGCATATATCAATGCACCAAGACCCTTACCAGCCAATTCTGACCGCATTCCAAGTTCCCATTGCAAATTCACTCTCTTCCCCTCTAAACCAGGTAACCAACCAACAGGGCCAGCATACATTCCTCGATCAAACGTTTCAGCCATTAGCCATATTAATATATATAATAAAAGAACTGCAGGGGCACGACCCCCGCCCCCCCAAAGCCCCTTAGTAGTTTCGCCACTGCCAATGGAGCATAAGCATAAAGATACTACGTATCATTTTTAGAATACTTCCTACTTTAAGTTCAGTATTAATTTCAATTTGCAGAAAGGTCTAAACTAGTGAAACAAAGACAATGTTGAACACATTACCTTGATTGAGAGAAGATTTTGCAAACAATTTCTATTTGCAGTTGGCTCCCTGCTTCGTGTCTTTGCTTGCAGTGGGATCCTTGCTTTGTGTCCTGCTTCACTTGAGCTGAACTGCTGCTGCTTCACTTGAACCACTGCTTGCTGCTGCATCGTTAACTCCTCATGAGTTCGTCGTGCCTCCTGAAAGAAGAGAAAGACAATGGCGTTCCTCAACTCCTGACCTAACTCTTGAAGTCTTGATTCACGAAGAGTAGGCAGACTTTGGGCTTTAGAAAAGAGTAGTATTGTTTGGACTTTTGGGCTATGGTTATTCCATTGGGCTTATTCAAATTTATAACAGATAAAGCTATTATGTGTTCGGTTCAGTTGGACTTTCGGTATAACATTGGTATACCAAAATTTAATGCAAATACCAATTTTTTGTAAAGATTCTATACCGTTACCGTACCGAAAAATTTGGTATACCGAAAACTGCAACATATTCAGTTTTTCTCAGGACGGCACGTGCGATATACCGATATTTCGGTATTCTTCCCCACCCCTAAGCATGCATGAGTAAATAAAGTTTGAGTTTTTAAAAAAAAAATATTGAAATAAAATTTATTAACACAGTATGATTAATTATTACTTTATTACAGTGCCATGATCACTTAAATGTAACAATTGAATATAAGTCATTGTGATTAATTTACTATTTTAGTCACTACACATATGAAGTCACATTTTGGTATATAACATTTATTTTAGTCGTAAAAATGTAATAATTTCACAAAGCTTTAAAATATCTAAAATAAATATGTTGTTTAGTTTTATCTTAATTTTCCCTCCGTTTTGTTTCTAGTTATGTAATATAAAATTCCTTGGTCTTCCCAAATGAATGCTAAATGATATACTATCGTATTACATTTTCTTTTATGTTTCTTGTTTGGCTATTCCCAATTGACAAGCAGCACTGATGAATACAGGAAAAAGGAAGATGGTACATATGTAGGAACGACATGGCAAATCAAGTTCAGACTTGCTAATGTCCATCAAAATGGAACCTACAAGCTGCGAGTGGCAATTGCATCTTCAACCCTTGCCGAATTACAGGTTTATACATAAATAAATGGAAATAATGAACACTGGCTCTTACTATTTTTTCTGTCTATCGTTTCGCTAATAGCAAATTTGGTTGAAGGTTCGGGTTAATAATCCAAGTACAAATCGACCGCTGTTTACGAGCAGATTGTTTGGGAGGGATAACTCCATAGCGAGGCTTGGAATCCATGGTCTGTACTGGCTATTCAATGTGGATATACAAGGAAATCTGCTGTCTGAAGGAGAGAATACCATTTACTTGACTCAGCCTAGAAATCAAAGTCCCTTCCAAGGAATTATGTATGACTATATTCGCTTAGAGGCTCCCAAGGTTTAGTCAAATTAGATTGCAGGATTGTGCAAGTAGACCATAAACTGATAAACAGTAAACACCACACACACGTACTGGCTGATATAGAAAAGTTTCATACGGACTTGGAGTATGATATATGCGAATGCATTAAAGCTATTAATGAAGTGATCTGTTAAATTACACTCCTCCATGCCAATATGAAAAAAAGAAAAAAATAGTGAACCTGTGGTTTGGAGACTTCCCAGTTCCAGTCCCAAAATTTTGGAACCTGAGACCGAGTAACATAGCCCACTCATACCGGTTCTGGTCTTGATCAGGATCCGGAAACTTAGTCCCGTACGCGGTCCGAAGTCTGGTTTTCATTGGGCACCGGTCACAACTCACAAGTCCAGGACTGATAACCAGTTCACCCCTTTATTAATTTTGATGTGTGTATTTTTCTTATGTCACACATGTATAATGTATTGGAAGACAAAGGGTGTGAGTTTTGAAGATAAATGCAATGGAAGAATTCTTAGGCTTTGTTCGGTATTATTGTTAGACTTGTTTTGTTTATTTTACGAGAGAAAAATAATTGTGATAAATGGTTGCAAGTTTAACCACTTTAACCGGGATTGAACAAATCTTCCAAAGTTCCTTCCCGTAGCGGTAAAAATGTAAAATTACCACACGGGGACATTTCCGAAGTAAATAATCTGAATCACTTTAGAGTGCAATCACAAACTTGACGCACAAAAAAATACCAAATCTCCCAACGCCATTTTCTCCCAACTAGATTTTGCGATACACGGAACATAAATTGTTTAAATTATGTGTAGATTGTTTAAATTATTTATAGATTCAAATATTCTATACAAAGTAATATATTATGTAAAAAAGAATAAACATATAAAGATCCGATATGAAATGTAAAAGTGTTTGTTTTTGGAAAAAGTATATTAAGAGATAAATATATGCTAAGGTTGGGTTTTTCCTTGTTCGCTCTCCGTTACTAAGGGAAATCCTTCACGACGACCACCATGACTCTTCCACCATGGTGGCTTGGTCATCGACACGTGCCCTGCGTGAATGGGTCATAAAAGCGGTCGCTGGTCAGGTTTCGTGCATGGGTCGGTAAAAGCGGTCGTCGGTTGGGTTTCAAATCACATTAAAAGCCCGTTTGGTAGCACGAAAAATCGACTGTTTTGGCTAGTTTTGCTAAAATTTATGAAACTATGGCTGAAGTGGCTGCATTGGCTGATTCTGTTGATTTAAGAAAAAATATTTTTGAAATATATTTTATCAATAAAATTAAGAAAAAATTATATGTAAAAATAGCTAAAATAGTCATCTAAATTTCAGTCAATACAACCAGAAAAGTAACTCCAACCTTACTTTTATTTGCTTATTACACAATTCAGCACGCGAAATCAAAAGTTACGTGTTTGATGAAAAAGTTGGTTGATAAGCGTGATAAACAGACTCTGAAAGTGTTTATCAGCTAATCATGTAAGTAGTACTCCGTATATGACATTGTACCGTTGTGGTAACTCGTAAACAAAACAACTTATACACTAAAAATTGAATTTGATATACATATATATACACATCACACCAGCAAAATCTATTAAAATTGAATCAGCCCAAAAATATACTATCGTATAAAACTGAATTTTATATAAATATTTATACACCATTAAAACAACTTATACACTAAAATTTATATCTAAAAGTAATCAACTCAAGTTAAATCCACATAGGGGCTGATGAATTAGAAAAATAGTGTTACCAACAATCCTGTCCCAGTCAAGTCCGGTCACCATTTCCGGCCATGCGGTCGCACATCCAGCAACCAAGGCAAACCATCTGTGCTAAAATCCAGGCTTTGTCCCAAATCGGCCAAGTTCCGGCATGAAAGCTAAAAAAGACATGAAGGATATACATGTCTCTTTTTTGCAGAAAGATGGATTAGATTAAAATCATATCCTTGCAAAAGCGAATCAAACACATCCATCATATATCATCCATATTATGAATGAATTCACTTTCCCAGAGCAAAGTTTGTGGCAAATGCTTGGTTAGCGGGGTCAACAAGGTGGTCCGCGAGGTTCTCCAGCGGCTGCCCCTTTACATCGAATATCGATGATTAGTTAGTTAGTGGCAATTCTAATCACAAGCTATACACGCAGGGCTTTTAACCTTTTTTCGTAGGATGTGTATTACATCTCGGACTTCGAAGATAAAATTGCTTTTGCCCATACTTGTTTATGACCGGTGCAACAGTGGTCTACTCAAAAGAGCCTTTTGATGCATTACATTTATGAACATTGAGTTGTCATTTTTGACCATGAATTTGAGCAGAAAAATGGTCAACTTTTGTCTTGCTTTTTTATAGAGTTAGATGGTGACATTTTTTAGGTTCGGGAGCTCAAAAATTCCACCTCTTTTTATATAGAGGTAGACTTCGGATACGTCTCCGTCTTATTAGATTAGAACTTACTTTGAGTTACAAGTTCATATTTGTAAATGTTCTGTTGTGAGAAAAGATCCAAATCAAGAAAACACAAAATCAAAACTCTATGTCCTATCTGGTCACCTCACACTTCACGAATACCTACTTCTAGATTGACCTAAAAGGAACTTGAGTCAATGACTGGTTGCTGGCGATCAGCGAATCATGTCTCACATGAGAGAATGTGTCTCGCATGAGATTACTCTAGCTAGTGGCCATTCCTTTGTCTGATAGTAGTAGTTGGGTTTCTGTCCCTCCTACTATAATCTAGAACGTTCTGAACATTAGTAATGGAACTCCAGTCTTTAATGGTATGAAAATGAAATTCAATATGTACAAAAACAACAGACCCAAACGGTATTACAAATTTACAATTGCAATTTTAAAGCTGTTTCTTGGCGTGTTCAGCGGCATCAGCTGCCTCGACCTCCATTTTCGACGCTTGTAAATCAGCTTCTGCCGCTTCTTCCTCGCTTCTCGCTGTCATCTTCTTTGCCTGCTTCCCACCACGGTTATTTTTAGCTTTCAATTTTATTATCCAAATCCTTAAAAACCAATCTATATCAGCTGATTATTAGAATAATAGGTAGTCGCAAAAGCAAACCTGTACTACAACAAACGCTTTGATGTAACGGATATATTCCAGCATAGAAGTCGTAAAGGACAAGCACCCTTTTTTGATACCGGAAGTTGACGGCGCATCTTGCCCTCTATTGGAACTGCCATCGGCGGTCATGGGTGCCATCGCCAGCGGCGCCGTCGGTGGTTTCCCCTCAACAGAAAATTGAGTTTCTTGGATTTCACAGAGAGAGCAGAGAATATAGATAAACACAGATGATGACAAATGGAGTTAATATGTTGACCGTCAGCTACGTGTCGGATGTTTGTTTGCAAATACGACAAATGCAATTCTTCTAGGAGTATTTTTTAAACGGGAAAATAATTTAAATGCAATTCACTTGATTGGTCCAAATAAGTATATCATTTTTAATATAAACTTAAACAAGTCAACCGTGATATTCTGATTGATCCATGTGGACAAAGGTATGGTACATTTTGGGTACCATAGAATATACCATTTAAATATCCCAAACTTTGAAGTGATGTGAGATAAACATTCAAAGTTACACATGTAATATGTATATGTCAAACTTTATATAAAAGGTTATGTTTACATCATTATCAAATTTTTTTACAACTATAATATTACGGTGTTAAGTATGTAATTTAAAATATATAAAACATTTATGAGGATGCAATTAAAATTTAATTGTATTAGATGTAATATTATTTTATTTGAAAAATGAAATATTAGAATTTTAACTACATTCTTAACAAAATTTAGAGTATTTTCAATCATATAATTATTCCAATAAATTTATATTGTAAACAAAATACAATCATAATGTGAAAAAATATCTTTTTATATAAAGTTCGGAGTATATATATTACAATGCAAGTTTGGGATATTTATTTCACACCCCATTAAAATTTGGAGTTCAATTATTTTTTCCTTTTTAAAATTAATATAGAAAGAAGTAATCTTTCCTCATGTTTTACATGTTCTGCTTTCTTTTTTGAATTGTCTAGAAATAAGTGTCATATTCTCTTTTGTGAAAAGAACAATGTAGTCTATAACATTTCACTTTATTTTACTAAAATCTGGATCACAACTTTTACCTTTTCAATTCTTTTATTAATAATTGTGTCAAATCAAGTAGGACACATACAATGGGATGAAGGTACGTAGTACTCACTATAAAGTGATAAAAGATGATAATGTTTGCGAAAAAATGTTTTTGAAAAAGTAAAAGTAGATATTGTACCCTCTAGGCTCTATCTACTTTTGATTTTTAGTTATTAAGTGTTTAATTTAACCAGAAGCTATCACTTAAAAATAACGATTTCAGTTTTTTTATATGGTATTTCAGTTTTTTAGGTCAAAAATTGAAAAACATTTTTTCAACTCTTCGCAAAACTAATGAATGGCTTCTGGTGGAAGGGGGCAAATTTCGAGCAAAAGGGCCTTAGGTGGAGCGATGGGAGCACATGTGCAGACTAAAGGAGGCAGGAGGGCTGGGCTTCCGAAGGATTAGAGAATTTAATCTAGCTATGTTAGCTAAGCAGGGATGAAGACTGATTACAGAGACCGAGAACCTGATGAGCCATGTGCTGAGAGCAATGTATTTTCCTAATTCAACTTTTTTGGTGGCCAGCATTGGAAATAACCCATCATTTATTTGGAGAAGCATTTTTGAGACCCAGAACATTCTGAGGAATAATATTAGACGAAGGGTGGGGAATGGCATAAATGTCTAGGTTTGGATGGACGCTTGGTTACCTGGGGGAAGGGGATGGCCGAATCACCTCTTCTAGGCCGAATGGGGTGAGGGAGATGAATGTTGCGGCTCTGAGGGATTATACTGGTAAAGAATGGAATAAATTACGAATTAATGATTTATTTAACGAGGAGGATAAAAAAAATTCTAAGTATTCCTATCAGTTGGCAGAACAGAGAAGAATGGAGTATTTTCGGTTAGGAGTTGTTACAGAGCTAGTATGGGTGATTTTCGAGTCGGAGCATGGGAGGGGTGGAAGCAGGTCTGGGAAGCACATGTACCACCAAAATTTAAATATTTCATTTGGCAGATTATTGATGGTACGCTCCCAACAGTGGACAATCTCAGAAAAAAGGGGGTAATTATACAAGGCGGGTGCGTGGTTTGTGGTAGTGCGGGGGAGTCTATTGCTCATGTAGTGCAGGACTGTCCCGGAGTTCTAGAAGTATGGAAACAGGCAGGAGTGACTACCGAGGAAAGTCTTTCTTTGGCCGAGGATTGGCTAAAAAAGAATGTCTCTATGCTAGATATGGCAGCTAGGTGCAAATTTATTTCTATTCTTTAGAGTATTTGGAAACGTAGAAATAATGGTGTTCGGAATAGGGCTGGGACTTAGAACCGAAAACCGGGAAAACCGATCCGAACCGAACCGAAATTTCCGGTTCGGTTCGGTTCCTATAATTTTGGACTTCACTTTTTT